GACGTATTAAATTAATTTTTGACTACTTACACAATCAGACAGCGACTCTGGTGTGTAAGGCATGTAGTGTGTGAATATGATGTCGTTACTTGCACAATCAGACAATGACTCTGGTGTGTAAGGCATGTAATGTATGAAAGTGATGTTGTTACTTATACAATCAGACAGCGACTCTGGTGTGTAAGGCATAAGACTGCGACTCTTATGTTAGATGGGTCGCAGACGTGCATAATCCACATATCATGTTCCCTGGCCAGTCGAACCGCATTTACATACATCACATGATTAATGAGTTATAGTATTTAGCTCGTTGAGCAAGAGATTATACTGTCATGATATATATGCCTTAACATGAACATGCATTGAAATTAGTGCTTTTGAACTTATATTATACTTGTAAGTGAGCTTGGGGCGGAAGAGTCCTTGAGGACCCCTTGTCTTACTGAGATTTCTTGTTTAGAGATCTCACCCCACGTTTGGGGGCGCTTATTTCAGGTTCAGGTAATTTGGGGGCTGATGCCTCTGGCGGCAGGAGGCCTGAGCTTAGTTGATGATATTACTGTTTATATGCTGGCATGACTGGACTTGGATGCTGTTTATGTTTTCTGCCTTTATATTATATTGTTGCTATGTCTAGACTTGTTGGGCTTTGTTGCCTTATTTGGGTGAGCATGGAAGTTGTCCATGCCACTATATTGTTAGTACTTTTAGCTTGAGTTGTATAAACTGCTAGTTGGTCCGGTCTACATATTGTAGTTCCGTGACTAGAGACATATATCTGTTATTTTAATTAATGAGGTGTTTCAGTTAGCTGTCTTTTGCAATTTACATACAGGCATGGTTTTATTTAAATGATTAAATAAGCAATTTGGTAATGATAATGACGTCAAAATTGAAAAGAAAAAGATATTCCGCATTTATAAATTAAGCGTGGCTTATTACGATGACATGTTAACAAACCGGGTTAACACGGGGTGTTACATTGGGCGTGATTTATTATGATCAGCCCACGTGTCACTAGTCTCGTTGGGCAGCCTACCAAGTTTGATTGCTCTATAAATAGTAACAAAACGTTCACATTCCAACAACCAGAAGGAGTAAAAATAGTGGGTGAGCAAAAATTGCGAAGGTTAGATTCTGTAACTGTTTATATCTCTTGTAATTTTATGTTATTAGTTAAAAAATGAGTGACAGTAATGATTCAGTAATTGCTCTGGTATATTACAATGTGAGAAAATATTTGGGTCCAAATGGCCAAGTTTTTGAAGGAGAAACGAAAATATTTCGTATGAGCCCGCGGTGTAGTTTTAATGAACTGAAGAAGACAATATATCAGAAGCTAAGATTACAACGAGGCCAAGTTCTATCTCGGTTGACTGCTAGATGCGCCTCGGGACCTGAAAATTGGGTTCATGTAGAGATTGTTAAGGATGAAGATGTCGCTTTAGTGGTAGATGCATTTCGAAATCATCCACACTCCACATTTATTGAACTATACGCGGAAGTAGACTCCGGTGGACAGTGTCGCAGTCAACATTTTCTCCCTTCCACTCACTCTATCGACATTAATATGGAGCCGATTGTGAGTCCTCAATATTCTCTCCCTTCAATTAATGTTATTGACATTAACATAGAGCCAGTTGTGAATCCTGAAGACAGGAATGTGTCACCTGAACCACCCCTTCCCGAACCAATGTGTGCAGAATATGATGTTGCTCGCGATATGTATGATCCGACATGTCGTACTGACAGTTCCGACGAAGAGGTGGATGAAGAGGTAGACGAAGGCTTAGTCCTGGGCAGTGACTCCTCGGACACTGACGGGGATGGAGATTTTGATTCATGTCCGTCCATCGTTGTGTGTTATGCGGTTCCTTCTCCGGGCATTGTTGGAATGCACGAGCATAGAGTGGCAGGTTAGTAAATATATAAAATGCATGTTGATACATAACAGATGTTGATTCGTATACATTAATGAGTGCTGATACAGGTGAAGGACAGACACCATTTTGGTCTCAAATAAGTCACTATACGCATATTAATTGGGCTCACCCAGATCAAGAGTTGCCAGCAATAGATGGAACACAAGTACCCAACTGGTAGATGAGGGTTGGCAAAAATGGCCAACCCGGCTCGACCTGGCCTAACCCGCATACAACTCGAAAAAAATGAGCCAGAAAACCCAACCCGACCCGAGTCGAGTTAGGGTTGGCTAAAAAATATGGCTCGTGGGTTGGCTTGAAAAATAGCTCGCGAGTTGGCTCAAAAATTGGCTCGCGGGTTAACTCAAAAATTGCTCGCGGTTGGCTCGTTTTCAGCCTATTTAAATGAACCTGTAGCATTAATGCACTAGTTATCTGGCTTCCATCAGCTTAAACAAATGCTTACAAAATGAGAAATAAAAGCAAAATATTCTAGTTTCAATTTTTCTTCACAACAAATTTGTGCCAATATCAAGAAATAATTAGAACCACTTGCTACCAAGTGAATAAGATATTTGAACCAAACAGAGGCAGCACAGCCTAACAATATAAAAATGATAGGGATGTGAGAAGATTATGGACTTAGGTTAGAGAAGGAAGAAAGACAATGACAACATGTGTGGGTTTTATCCATTTTTGTATGTTATATTTTGTATTTTTTTTATAAAAAAAAAAAAAGAAACCTCAACCCGCGAGCTGGCTCGTTTGACTCACGGGTTAGCTCATTTTTTTCCGAGCTGGCTCGAGTCGGGTTGGCAGCTCATTTTTTCTAACCCAACCTGGCTCATTTTTGACGGGTTACGAGCCAACCCTAGCTGATGTTGAGCTGTATAAAGACCATGTGTTTGACAAGAAGCATGATGTTCAGATGGCGATCAAAAAATTTTGTATGGGGTAGCACTAGGGGTGAAACTGGGCCAGGCCGGCCTACAGGGGCCTACGGCTCGGCCTACGTCAGGCCAGACCTAACTTAGTATATTTCATAAAACAGGCCGGACTTGGGCTTTAAAAAAGCTTGTTTAATAAAAAGGCCGTAGGACCACTTTCATAAGGCCTGGCCTATAAGCCTACAAGTCGGCCTACATTGTACTATTTATTTCAAATAAAATAAAATATGATAAATATAAGAAAAAATAAAAGATAAATTTAATCAATTGCAATTATTTATAACTTAATTATATTCAATTATATTTTAATAGAAATTTGACTTTATTTCTTATGTAGGAAGAATCAACATCTCAACATGTTAGATTGTGTATATGAATATATTAAAAGATTTTTGAGAGAGGTTATAGTTACTACAAGCATTATGATATGTTTGTTGAATTCATATAGTTATTTTAATTTACATAGCATGAATTTGTTTGTTGGATCTTAAATATATGTTATTTAGTTTAAGCATTTTGCTTTTAAAAGTGACTTAAATGCAGATTGTATGAGTTTTGTTGTGATTCATGATTCTGTTTGGACGTTGAAATTATGATTTCTGGTTTAGCAGCGAAATTTGAGTATTTTGTAAAATTGATTCATGGTTCTGCTTGGAAGTTAAAAATTAACAGGCTAATGGGCTAGACCAGGCCATTCACTTTTTAATAAACGGGCCAAGTCAGGCTAACAGTTAGACTCATACTAGGCTTGGGCCAGGCCAAATTGAAATTTTTTGACGTAGGCTTGGGCTTTTCGGGGCAAAGCTTGGCCCAGCCCAGCCCACTTTCACCCCTAGGTAGCACCACACCACCATTTTATGTAAAAGTGATACGAAAAGATTGATCATGGTTTGCGAAAATCACAACAACGATTATCCGTGGAGGGTGAGGGCACACGTTAAAAAGGGAGGGACGAAATGGATTATCGGCAAGTGGGTTAACGAACATAACTGTGTTAACCATACTCTTTCTCAAGACCGCAAGCAGCTGGATTCTAATTTCATATGTTCAATGATTCTAGGTATGTATAACTGTAGCAATCTGCGATATTATATAACTAAGTTATCATAAACTAATTGTACAACATATGCAGAAATGATAAGGGAGGAGCCAAATATGAAAATTTCTCTCATCCAAGAAAGGATAGCAACAAAGCAAAAAGCAATTGTCAAAATTTATATAGATTGGGATGAATCATACGGTTTTCTGCCACGGTGGTTGGACTACATGTTGAAATTTTCACTTGGGGCTGTAGATAAGCTGGATCTTAATGACCATTTTGATGACAACCGGTTGGATCAATCTCGAAAGGTGTTTGTCAGGGTTTTTTGGACTTTCAAACAGTGTGTCAATGCCTTCAATTATTGCAAACCCGTGATTAAAATAGATGGTACACACTTATATGGTAAATATCGGGGGACCCTATTAATAGTAACTACAGTTGATGGAAACAATTACGTTTTATCCATTGCATTTGCCGTGGTAAAATGGGAGAATCTTGAAGACTGGTTGGGGTTTCTAGCCCTAATACGAATGCATATGACACAAAAAGAAGGCATTTGTCTTATCTCTGATCGACATGCGGGCATTATATTTGTCGTCAACAATGTGGCGCTGGGATGGCAGCCACCTAAAGTGTACCATATGTACTGTATACGACATATTGGTAGTAATTTCAACCACAAGTTCAAGAACGTTATGTTAAACAAGCAACTGAAGAAGTTAAGTAACTTTACATGTTTAAATTCTTGTCATGTTTTTTATTTATATTGAGATATGTCGTACATTTATGCCATTATTACTATATGCAGGTTATACAACTAGCCGGTTAGATTTTGACACTGGTTTAGAAAAATTTAAAGAATCAGGACCTCAAATAGCTGCCTAGATAGATCGCATTTCGAAAGAGAAATGGAGTATTGCATACGATGAAGGTGGCAGAAGGTTTGGTCACATGAATAAAAACTTGTTAGAGTATGTTCATAAAGTCCTTAAGGGCGGAAGAAACCTTCCTATCACGGTTCTGGTGCAGCTCACATATGCCCGATTTGTGCAATATTTTTTGACACACGGCCAAGAGGCACGTGATGAAATGACCAAGGGTAATCGTTTCACAAAAGTCTTCTGGCAAGCGTATGAGATAAATCAGCAAAATGCTGCAACACACTGGGTAAAAATTTATGACCCTCAAAAGACACGATTTGAAGTGCCAGAATCGTACAACCAAAGAACTCATCGCAGTGGAAAAAAATGGTCGGTTTCATTACCTGATCAAACATGTCAACGCGGTGAATTTACTGCTTTTAGGTACCCCTGTAGTCATGTTATAGCAGCACGCACCTCCACAAATCACGATCCAATGCAATACATTGATCCGGCTTACAGTGCCGCATATCAATGTCAAGTATACGCAAGGCAAGGGTACCCAATCAGCAATGAGGATTTTATCCCACGAAGTCAGGGACCAATTGTGATTCCAGATGTGTTGATGTGGCGTAAGAAAGGAAGGCCTAAAAGCAATCGTATACAAAACGAGATGGACATACGTGAAGGATCAACTATTCATACGCGATGTGGTTATTGTAGAGTTGTGGGCCACAATAAGCGTAACTGTCCAAGACGCCAACCTACTGAGCAGAGATAATTTGTGTAGCATTCACACTATAACATTCTATGTAACTTTGCAGATGTTTATTTTTCATTTTAGTAACACTAATATCTAAGTCATCCTTTGGTTGCAAAATAAGCGTAAATGTGTTAATTTCATATAGCAACCAAAATGTCTACAATAAAGGTAAACATATAATCGACAATAATAGCATCCAAAATAACATAAACATAAATACGGGATAAATGTCCACCGTACATCCTCCAAAATAACATAACTGTAAATACAGCCCATATATCCAACATACATCACCCAAAATAACATAACCATAAATACGGCATAAATGTCCAACATACATCACCCAAAATAACCTAAACATATATGCGATGATGTCTAATGTCCATAATAAGCTAAATGGCCATCATACATGAGCCAAAATAAGCTAAACATAAATCAACATGTCAATGGGGTCCATGATCACCATGGCAGAATTTGGTGTCATGATCGAATGGGGAAAGGTTACATCTAAATCTGGCCCCTCTCTCAGGGTTCCTTCGCACACCACCATCTTGCTCAGCTGGTCTAACATCCTCATGCGTGGGTTCCTACGTGGGGTCCTCCATCAAGGCCCGCTCAAGACTCTCTCGTGAAAACTCAGGAATAGAACTTCCCTCAACATCCTGCATATGCTGGTGGCATACGCTGTAGGGGTCACAAGAAAAAGCTCGACCCTGTATCCCTCAACAAACTCGTCCAAGCCCTGACTCGACTGTGAACTGCTCTCTCCTTGCCATATGGGAGCCTGTGTGGCCATAAATGTTGCCTCTGAACTAGCCTCTCCATGGTACTGGGGACCGAGAGGGGCTGTATGTGCATATGTACCGAAGGTAGAACCAGCTAAATAAGCTGGTGGTGGACAATACTGCGAAAAAGGACCAGATGGCCAATAGTACGGCTACAAAGGCCCTGAAGGAAAGCCTAGTGGAAAAAACAACCCAGGTGGTCGCTGGGGAAGAAAAGGCACAAACATAGGTCGGTCGGTCACTGAGGGGCAAGTGTGGTGTAAAGGATGTCCCTCAATGCGCGCTCGTTAGGATCTGTATGGCTCGTGAGGGGGTCACTGTGTGTGACGGACACTCGGTGGAGGCAAGTCCTCTCCAGGCTCAATGATCCTATTTCTTTCATGGACAACACACAAAGCCCGCTCTACCTCATGACAGAGAGACTCCATCGAGAAATCACTCTGAGACTGCTCTTGCACCATGTAGTATACAATCTCCACACGATCGGCCTATAAAAAACATAGGATTATGCGCATCAAGACATAAGGTTACATAAAAATTATGATTAAAAAAAAAATATGTACAAAACATACCACATGTGATGCCTCAGCAGCCCTCTGAGTCAGCCATCATCGGGTTACTCCCCTATACCACTGAATATATTTGTTATTAATAGATAAGTGCCCCTCACCTACAAGTGGATGAAAATTTTCCACCACTAGATGCTCTTTGTCATTCCACTGTGCAACATAAGTTGTAAACCGATCTGTCCAGTCCACATCGAGCTTTCCCATCAGGGTGGTAGAAGACATGTCAGGCGGGCAATCCACAGGGGGTGCAAGGATAGGCTGCCTAAACCCAAACTGTTTGAGCACCCTATCAGGATACTGGTACACCATGATGTGGTAATAAATAAGAGGACACACGGCCAACCATCTGCGAGACTGATCAGAACTCGACTGGTGTGCATTAAAATTACGATACAACAACCAAACAATCTCATGCCTGCGTATAACATCCCGATATCTCTCCAAGTTAGTGGATCGATGCTGCCGCCTAACATATACATTAAATCTGCATAATTAAAAAAAAATTATCAGTAATATAATTATGGCAAACATATCACATTACTAAAATCAATATGGCTCATACCTGTGACCGTATATGGCATCTGGGTCATCCACATCGGGAAGAGGAGGAGCGACTCGGCGTAAGCGCGTCCACGCCCAAAGCTATAGAAGTAATACACATCCACCCATTTCTGAGTGAGCTATGTCTGTCGCTCTAGCCAACACACGATATAGATATGCAAGTACCGCAAGACCCCAGCTAAAAGTTTCCGTGCACTGAAAATCATCAAGGAATAATAAAAATCGTACAAGCACATAACTGGAGGCGGTATCGAACAACAACCCCCCAACACACGCATGATCAGGGAGCGTATGTACATAATGCGCTGCTGCTCAGTGGCACTATGTTGGGCATAGTTACCATATGCCTCATGCAAACAACGGAGACTCAAACCCCCACCACTTAAATTTTGCCCAGCTGCTGGCACAAGTCCAAGATATTCAAGAATCAGCTGTCGCTAATTATGCTGTCCAGCCCGACCGGATACAACATAACCATCTGTGGCCAATCCCAATAGATGATGAACATCCTCCAAAGTAATTGTCATGATCTCATCGTGGGCCATATGAAACGTGTGCGCCTCAGGGCGCCAATGCTCCACGAGAGCATAAATTATCGCATGGTCAATCTGGAACAATAAATACAGGTGATGTATTGAAAAAATAACTATTAGAAAAACCTGTGAACACAAATAAACAAAACAGTATATACTCACATCATGGTTGCGCAGCCGCGCAACGTGGAAGACACCTGCCTGCCTCAACTATGGATGAATCTCCTAAGAATTGTGCTTAGGATCGTGTGTGGCTGCCATCCTGACATTAAGTCGCCGATCTGCCTCACCATTCCACACGTATGTGGATATATGCTTCTCCTGTAATGTTAGGAGAGACAGGTCAATAGGCCCGGGTGTAATCAACCTACGAGGAGATTCTGGGGATCCAGGAGGTGTGGGAGCATGGTCCTCAGGAGGCGGTGAACCATGCAGTGAATCAGGCGGGGATGCCATGAACCCTATTATAAAATATGAAATAAACAATCTTAGTCATGGTAATTATAAATATTGAGTAAAGACCCTTTTTGATCCCTAACAAAAAAACACGGTCTCTACTTTAGTCCCTTACAAAAATAAATTAGTCAGTTACTCTCTAACAAATTCAAGGTGGACCCATTTTAGTCCTTTTGAGGGACTAATATGAGTCTTTTTTGAATTTGTGAGGGACCACGATTTCAACTAAATGGGTCCAATTTGAATTTGTTAGGGACTAACTGACTAATTTATTTTTGTAAGGGACTAAAGTGGGGACCGTATTTTTTGTTAGGGACTAAAATGGGTATTTACTCTAAATATTAGTATAGCGAAAGAAACACAAATCAATGCAAACATAATACAGTAATTAACAATCGCTAAATAATATTAAACTAATTATTGTAATCAACATTAACAATGTCTCTTATCCTATAATTTCTTTATTAATAAATCCTAATAATCACAACAATATAAAAAATGAATACTACCCTAATTACCAATTACAAAAATTAACTACCCTAAAATTTACTTATTCTACTAATTTATATAATAAAAAATAATTACATTTTTATCCTATAATTTTTTATTAACAAATGCTACTAATAAAAAAGTATTAAATATGAATACTAACCTAATTACTAATTATGATAATTAACAATCGCTAAATTATATTAAACTCATTATTGTAATTAACATTAACATTGTCTCTTATCCTATTATTTCTTTATTAATAAATCCTAATAATCACAACAACATAAAAAATAAATACTACCCTAATTACTAATTACAAAAATTAACTACCCTAAAATTTTCTTATTCTACTAATTTATATAATAATAAAAATAATTACATTTTTATCCTGTAATTTTTTATAAACAAATGCTACTAATAAAAAAATATTAAATATAAATACTAACCTAGTTACTAATTACGATAATTAACAATCACTAAATTATATTAAACTAATTATTGTAATTAACATTAAGAATGTCTCATATCCTATAATTTGTTTATTAATAAATTCTAATAATCACAATAATATAAAAAATAAATACTACCGTAATTACTAATTACAAAAATTAACTACCTAAAATTTACTTATTCTACTAATTTACATTATAAAAAAAATAATTGCATTTTTATCCTATACTTTTTTATTAACAAATGCTAATAATGACAACAGTATCAAAATTAAATACTAAACTAATTACTAATTAAAATAATTAACTACAATACAAAATTAACTTATAATACTAATTCATCTAGTAAATATTATTAATGTCATCTATCCTATGATTTTTAATATTAGCACATGCTAATAATAAAAAAACAAAAAACAAAAAATAGAAACTAACCTCAAAAAGCAAGTCCACAATTAGAGAGCCAAATCCGCAGACAGAAAAATCTTGTAGAGAGAGATAGAGATGCTGAAAGTGATGGGGGTGGGGTTTTATAGAAATTCGACTGCAGGTTTCTCGCTGGACTGACCAACGCGAATGTTGTGAAGATGACACGTGTATGACATGCATCAGGGAGCGGTACGGTTCCTACCAATCTAGCTGGACTGACCAGCGCGAATGGTGGGAAGATGACACGTGGACAACTTTTCAGAATGTGCAGACTGGTTGATTGACAACCCATTCTCGCTTGTCAGACCAGCGAGAATGGGGCACTATGGTTGATTGCCACGTGTCTGGTTCCAATCTCGCTTGGTAATGTAGCGAGATTGTGACGTGGCATTTTGGAAAATTTTGATTGGTGCGTGGCATATCGATAATATTTTATCAAAGGTGTGTTACTTTGGTCAATGTCCCCACTAATGGTGTATTGAAGTGTATTTACTCACTTATTCATGTATAGAGTCCTATATAAGGAAAAGACTTACATGAAAGATTTGATAATGAATGAATTTATAAGTTAATGATATTTCTATACTTTCTAATTGTTCTTTCTTTGATCTTCACATTTTTTTCTTTCTTCATTTTTCTTTCTCTATTTCTTTCCTTTTATTTTATGACACGTTATCAACACGATAGCCTCTATCAATTAAAGTCAAAAGGTTTTTACAAAAGTAAATTTTGTCCACAAGGTAGGTATTCATTTGTGTGTTCTTTTATCAATTTCTAATTATTCTTTTTCTACCAATTCTCCATTTTCATTTTTGTTTCTATTCCTGAAGTGGCAATGGGTGTTTGACAACCTATATAATTCCACTCTTGAAGTAGATGTGAGTGTTTGAAAAATATTATTGGAGATTTGATAGCTTATATCACTGTGCTACTGAAGTAGCAATTTAGTGTTTGAGATAAGATAGCCTAATCAAACATATGTCAAGTAAAAATTATTTGCATCAGTAAATTTTTAATTTACAAGAACATTATAAACTTCTAGTATTCAATAACTTTATTAATATTTTTGATATGATACATTTTGAACAATAAATTTTTTCAGCTTAATAGTATATAGGATATTAATGCTATGCATGAGATTTATTTATCTAAGTAACTAGCTTATTTAAAGCCTCCAAACAAATTCGTACTATCACATATTCTAATTTATTTTTAATTCCTATATATGGAATCAAATATATTATCTTGAGTCAATAAATAAATATACTAAAAATAATATCTTAAGTAATACACTTAAAATATCACAAACTAATAAAGAAAAGATAAATATATATAAATCACATGCATGTGACATGCCAAGTTTAAATTACTAATACTAACTATTTTCCTTCGTCAAAATATTTTATCAATCAAGATATTTCAATAGTCATCCACATATAAAATTTATGTGTCAATATATGATATATCATTGTTTGTTGAAATTTTCATTGTGCTTGGCGCTAGAACATAAATAATTCTTTTTTCCATTTTTAATAGAGAATAAAATATGATGCTTATTTTTTTTTTTGTATAAAATTCATGTGTGCTTTAAAATATATCATTGTTTGTTAAAATATTCACTGTGCCGATGCTATAATATAAATAATTTTTTTTTTACATTGGATATTATGCTTACTTTTTTATGGCTACTAGCTCTACCAACTTCTTTCAAATACTATTAAATCAGAATATCAAGAAAAAAAAATCATAATTAATTGATATTTTAATCATATAATATTAAAAATAAGTACACAATGTATGTGTATGTATGAAAAAATAAATATAACCTTTTGTTTAAGAGAAAAAAAAAAACTTCTCATACAATGTATATTGCCGAGAAACAAGCCCAAGTACCGAAATACAAAGGCTGTGCCTAATTTGTTTAGGACAACGGACAATGCCTCGTCATTAAATGATAGTAGACAGTAACAGTAGAACGTGGTTGTCACTTGTCAACACTAAATACTAAAATGGTTTGGGCTGGGCTTTGGCCTTCTTAGCCTAAACTTACGTAAAAAAATATTTAACTTACTTGACTTATTGGAGATTTTATTTATAGGTCAAGTCTGATTTATTTTAAAAAATTAAAGAGCCTTGTAGGCCTCCCTCATGATATATTTTTAAAAAAAAATTTAACAATTTTTAAAATATTCGCTTTACATTACAAGTCATTATTAATGTGTTCATAAATTGCTGCATTTTTTTACACGAGATATAAATTTCACTAGTGAACATTAAAATTTTTACAATAGTAAAAAAAAAACTAAAAAAAATATGCTGAGCAAAGTTCTATTCATGCATGTATACTTCTCATAAAAAATAATAAATGACAAACAAAAGCCACGTGATTTTTCTCTTATTGAAAGCCAAATAGTAACATACCAAAATTCAAACAAAACAGCTCCAAAATGAATCATGTCTGAATTCTTGACAAGATTCATCGTCATCGTGGACACAGTTGGTGTCCAATCATTTTTGTTTTCTTGGTATTGTCTCGTGCGAGATCATATTGGTCAGAGCTGGTAAAGTGGGCGGCCCGTCTCGTCCCGTCTCACCCCGCCATCAATTCGTCAAAAAATGAGTCAGTCCAGCCCACTCCGCTTTTGAAAATGGGTTGAAAAACTCAACTCGTCCCGCCTCGTTTGGCGGGTTGACCCGTCAGTTCGAGCCTATTTTATACTGACCCGCATCGGCCAGCCTATGTCCGCCTTCAACCCGCCAAAAAATGAGTCCGCCCCACATTTGAGAAGAATTAAAAAACTCAATATGTCTTGCCCGACGGGTTGGACGGATTGACCCGCCGAGCCGAACTCGTTTTGCCCGCTGTAATATTGACGCATGCAAATATTAAAAACAGCATATGAATAAGAAAAGTCCACGATGTTTAAAAATATCCCAACAATAACAAAAGGCTTTGGTTTATAAATAACAGGTCCCAAGCTCGAGGCAATATGGCTAATGATCACGAAATCAACGCACCTCTAAGTATGCACCTTCACTTTCTCTCAACTTTCAATTTTCTTTCTCTAAACGCACCGTTTTTATTTTTGACGAGATCTAAACACTAATTTATTAATTTTCAGTTCAAAGAAAAAGGCACCACAACAACGACCATGCCGCCGGTTCCCAACCGGAGAACTCACCGGAGGGAGAGAATTCTCCGATCGAACAGGTGGCGCTCACGGTTCCGGTCACCGACGATCCAGCGCTTCCTACCTTCACTTTCCGAACATGGATTTTGGGAACTTTAGCTTGTGTTCTTCTCTCATTCCTCAACCAATTCTTCGGCTACCGCCGAGAGCCGCTTTCCGTGACGGCGATCTCGGCGCAGATCGCGGTGGTGCCGCTGGGACACCTGATGGCGTCGACGGTGACGAAGCGAGTGTTCTTGAAGGGGAAGAGGTGGGAGTTCACGCTGAATCCGGGGAAATTCAACGTGAAGGAGCACGTGCTCATCACCATCTTCGCCAATTCAGGAGCTGCTAGCGTTTACGCTATTCATTTCGTGAGCGCCGTCAAAGTGTTTTACCGGAAGGAGATTTCGATTTTTGTGGCGTTACTAGTGGTTATAACGACGCAGGTGTTGGGATTCGGTTGGGCCGGCGTTTTCCGGCGGTACCTGGTGGAGCCCGCCGCCATGTGGTGGCCACAAAATCTCGTGCAGGTCTCGCTTTTCAGGTACGTGCACAGCATAATACACATTGGTAGATTTGGTCACTGCTCTCTCTTTTGTTCAATTATTGTCTATTGATATTAACCTTATGAGTAGACAGAACTTTGGCCTTTCTTCTACGTTTTCTAGTCAAAAAGTTAACACGCACACATAATTACTACCGAAATAAGTTGAAACTATTGATAATTTTAAAGGAAATATAAGAATTATGATATTAAAGTTATTTATTTTATTGACATGGTTATAAGTATAAAAAAATAATTTTAAAATATTACAATTATATATTTTTTGAAATACATAATTAAAAACGATTTACAAAACAAAGAAAATGTCCCGTAACAGAATATCCGACGGATTCTAATTTTAAATACTAGTAATTTTTTTGAATTAAATTATATCATACGTTTTTATAAATTTACGAAGTTTTTATAACTTAAAAGTTTCTAACGGAATGATTTATCAAAATAATAGAATTTTAAAATTTATTTATCAATCTAATATAGTTTAAAAATTGTTAATTAAAATTTTTGATCAAATTTAATTATGTGAGTCCCATAAAGTGACAAGTGTCACCAACAGATTTATTGTGATACTTTGATCAGGAAGGTTCCGTTGTAGTGTCGCCTAGTTGGGTTCTTATATATAGTTAATTTGATCAAATTTAACCGAGACAAGATTTTTGACTTGCATATAAAATTAAATTTTTTTACTTTTTATCTGATGATTTTTATATATTTAACGAATAAAGTTTATTCAGTTATATTTATTAATTAATTATTAATTTTAAATAAACTATAACCATCAATGCACGAAAATCTATAATTAAGATAAAAATAGGCCTTTTTAATTTAGACCGGAGTTAAAAAATTCTCACCTAGTGGGCAGCAATTGCTGAATTTAATTATTAATTTGTAAATAGTTTTAAATTATATTACATTGCTAAATAATTTTTAAAATCATATTATATGGTATTTCTGAAAATTCTTACGTAAAATGTTATTCACTTAAAGTCGTTAAATTTTCATTACTTCTTATTAAATTAACTTATTTAAAAATTTATTTTATTATAATTCATTAGTAAATATTATTGTAAACTTTCGCTTAGATTGAGAATATGCTTTTGAGACTCAATTTCAATATGAAAATTGAGAACCCCTTTATTTTACCTTTTAATATATAAAGGGAAATCAATCTTATTAGTATTATCATTTTATATATCTTTTAGAATCCTTTTACTTATTAAATGAATATTGGTCTTCGTTTCAATATGTTAATTTAATATATTTTATTCATTTATACAATTGCTTTCAATTGTATAATTTATTTACCTTATCACGAGTTATTTTGTATTTCATATTTACCATATGGTTGACTGTTTATTATCTTATAATAATTACAAAAAGGAAAACTAATGCTATAAAGTCTAACTATGTGCAAAAACTGTTTTACAAAAAAGGGACAAACTTTCGCAATTTTTTTTTTTTTTTACATGATTGATTATCACTAGAATTTACTAATTGTATATGAAAATATGAATAGCCTTTTGCCAGATATAATCCGCATGCATGCATGCGAGACTAAAATTTACCGAAAATGTGCTCGACTTTAAAGCCATTTGTTTGATAGTATGAGAAACTTAGGGATTAAATATCATCTTCACTAATGTGAAATTCTTTTAAATTAAATTTTCCTCCCTTGTTGAAATGTAAAATTTATTCCACTGCCCATGTCATTATTTGGCTTGGGGTTACCTTCTAGCATGCCCCTATAAATGTTAGAGAAAGGCTAGTTGCACAGTCACTTGTGCATAAACTATGCACTATTTTATTCATGTGATTGCTTCTAGTTCTAAGTAACGTTACCAACTTGAGGATCTCAGCTCATTTAATCCTATCAAATTTATGATCAATAGTAATTATATGACTGCTAATTCCATGTTTCCCAATAAATTTACAGTTCATGCACAACCTATTGAATTTCAGGGCGCTGCATGAGAAAGAGGAAAGGCCAAAGGGCGGGTTAACTCGGAATCAGTTCTTCCTTGTAGCATTTGTTTGCAGTTTTGCTTATTATGTCTTTCCAGGCTACTTGTTCCCAATGTTAACATCACTTTCCTGGATCTGTTGGATGTTTCCCACTTCCATTATAGCACAACAGTTAGGTTCAGGGCTGCATGGTCTTGGACTTGGGGCTATTGGTTTTGACTGGTCTAGTATATGTGCTTATCTTGGTAGCCCTCTGGCCAGTCCGTGGTTTGCTACGGCTAACATTGCTGCTGGTTTTGCCATTTTCATGTATGTCATTACGCCCTTTGCTTATGGGCTCAATCTTTACAACGCAAGAAGATTTCCCATATTTTCAGATGATTTATTCATGTCCAATGGTCAAAAATACAACATCTCAGCTATTATAGACTCCAAGTTTCACCTTGACATGGAAGCTTTTGAACGGGAAGGCCCTCTTTATCTTAGCACCATCTTTGCTATGTCATATGGAATTGGTTTTGCTTGCCTTTCTGCAACCATAGCTCATGTATTGCTCTTCCATGGGAGGTAAGTCAAGCTTTTACTAGTTCTATACTCTTTTTCTATTGAAACTTTTTGTAAACTATCGGGTCACTGATTGAAGTAAGTGTTTAATTTAATGATGCAGTGAAATATTGCAGCTAAGTAAGTCTGCTTTCCAAGAGAAGGAGATAGATATACACACGAAGATCATGAGAAAATATTATAAACAAGTTCCTGAATGGTGGTTTGTTTGCATTCTGTTGTTCAACATCACAGCAACTATATTTGTATGTGAGTATTACAACGATCAACTCCAGCTGCCATGGTGGGGTGTGGTATTAGCCTGTGTTGTTGCCATATCATTTACTCTTCCTGTTGGAGTAATCAGAGCCACAACAAATCAGGTACATCCAATGTTATAAAATTCATTGTAACACTAAAATTTAATGATAATTTCTGTGTTGCACTGATGCAACAAGTAGGTGACAGGTGCTGGGCAGTTGGATTTTGCCTAAGAACTAAATTCTGTTTGCTCCAAATTCAATCCAGTGGTTCATAAACTGTCACTCTAGCAGTGGTACTGGTGCAACTAAATTGGTGTTTGCATCATGTAATTGGTCAAACTTTAATGGTTGAATGTGAATCCTTCAAAAAAGTATTGGTGCTACCTCTTATATTCGAAGTACTGCATATGACCTGAAATAGTTTGATTTTGTCCATTGTATTATCAACCGCATGTCCTAACAATAACAAATTTTCCTTTCTGAAAAGGCACCGGGTTTGAATGTTATAACAGAGTACATAATTGGATACATCTACCCGGGATATCCTGTTGCTAACATGTTGTTTAAAGTGTACGGGAACGTGAGTATGAAGCAGGCGATTTTCTTTTTGCAAGATTTTAAGCTTGGCCATTACATGAAGATTCCTCCTAGAGCAATGTTCGTAGCACAGGTTAGCACACACAGTCTCCCTCGTCAGAGAAAACAGATAGAAGTGACTTTTTATGCTATAATATTACCTTTCTGCTTCTAAATGGTCTTGTAAGTAATTATAATTCCCTTGCTTGCCTTATTTCCTCTTTAGGTAATTGGCACCATGATAGCCGCATTGGTGCATTTAGTAACAGCATGGTGGCTCATGAAAACTGTTCCAAATTTATGCGATAGAGAGTTGCTTCCAGCAGGGAGTCCATGGACTTGCCCTAATGATCATGTATTCTATGACGCGTCTGTGATATGGGGTTTGATAGGTCCTCGCAGAATTTTTGGAGATCTTGGACACTACTCAGCCGTTAACTGGTTTTTCTTGGCTGGGGCTATTGCTCCTTTCTTAGTTTGGCTAGCACACAAAGCCTTCCCTGATAAACAATGGATTAGACTTATCACTATGCCTGTGCTCTTGGGAGCATTATCTGACATGCCTCCTGCTACAGCAGTAAACTACTCTAGTTGGGTTCTTGTTGGATTTGCCTCAGGGTTTATTGCTTACCGCTACTACCGTGGTTGGTGGAGCCGACACAACTATGTCTTATCTGGGGCACTTGATGCTGGATTAGCCTTCATGGGGGTTTTGCTCTACTTGTGTTTGGGGATGGAGCAGATCAACCTAAATTGGTGGGGCAGCGACTCGGATGGATGCCCATTAGCTTCATGTCCAACTGCTCCAGGTGTCAAATCTGAAGGGTGTCCTCTTTACTAAGTTTGTAAGTGACATTATTGTAGTTTTGGCAGTAGCTGAGATGTATATAAATGTTTGCATAAATTATTCATTCTTCGATGTATGTAGAGGTTGTGTGTAAATTTTGTAAAATATTTGGTTCGATTATGAACGCTGATGTTATTGAATAACAGAATCCAGAGAAATTGAAGAAGAAACATTTTTGTATTACTGGAAAAATCTACGTGAATTTACAGAGAGTATGTGTCCAAATATATCATGGCTCCTATAACAGAATCAGCATTCTGTTTCCGTAAATTGTGGTGGATAGTTGTAACTAACAGTGAGGTGGCAATACAAGGCAAATTGAATAAACCAAATAACAAAGGACTTAATACAGAAAAAGAAAAGAAACGTGACAGAATATGCTAAAACTCTCCCTCAAGATGGAGAGTGTATGTTGAGAACTCCCATCTTGGAGAGAATGGAAAAGAAAAGACCAGGAGAAAGTGCTTTAGTGAGAATGTCAGCCAGTTGTTGAACAGAAGGTACAACAAAGGTGTGAAGTTTTCCTTTAGTGATTTGTTCGCGGACTATGTGGCAGTCAATGTCAATATGCTTCGTGCGTTCATGGAAGATCGGATTAGCCGCAATATGGAGGGCAGCCTGATTGTCACAAAATAAGTGGGCAGCAGTAGAATGAGTCACATGGAGATCCTTAAGTAAACCAAATAGCCAAAGAAGTTCACAAGTGGCATTGGCCATTGATCTGTATTTGGCCTCAGCAGATGAACGGGAGACTGTAGGTTGTTTCTTCGACTTCCAGGAAATAAGGGATTCACCAAGAAATATACAATAGCCAGTAACAGATCGTCTACTGTGAGTACAAGCAGCCCAATCAGAGTCAGAAAATGCATTCAGCTGAATATGAGAATTGGCAGAAAATAAAAGGCCTTGATCAGCAGTGCATTTCAAATAAGCAAGTATACGGTGCACAGCTTGCATGTGAGGCACTCGAGGGGCAGTCATGAACTGACTCAGCCTGTTAACAGCAAAAGACAGATCTGGACGAGTGATGTTCAGGTAAAGAAGCTTGCCAATGATGCGTCTGTAGGGAGTAGGGTCAGGTAGAAGTTCTCCAGCATCAGATGACAATTTTAAGTTGGCTTCCATTGGAGTGGTTTGAGGCTTGCAGCCAATAACACCATAATCTTGCAGAATATTTAATATGTATTGACGCTGACTTAGATGAATGCCTTGATGAGAACGTGCCACTTCAAGGCCTAAAAAATATTTAAGTGCTCCCAGATTTTTTAATCGAAACTTGCTGTTTAGAGAGGCAGTAATATTGGTCAAAGCAATAGAATCATTAGAAGCAAGAATGATATCATGAACATAAACCAATATAGCAATGAAATAAGTATCAGTGAACTTTGTAAAAAGTGAGTGATCAGAGCAAGATTGATTAAAACCAATGGAGATCAAAGTGCCAGAGAGTTTGGAGAACCATTGGCGAGAAGATTGCCTGAGTCCATAAATGGATTTCTTAAGATGGCAAACTGCATTTTGAGGTAAACACTCCCCCTTACCAGTGTAACCCGAGGGGAGGGACATGTAGACTTCTTCCATAAGGTCACCATGCAAAAAAGCATTGTTGACGTCTAATTGAAGTAAATGCCAATTATGAATGGCAGCAAGTGACAATAGCACACAGACAGTGGTGATTTTTGCCACAGGAGAGAAGGTTTCCATGAAATCAATACCTTGTTGGGAGAAACCTTTAGCAACCAAGCGGGCTTTGTATCTTTCAAGGTTGCCATCAGATTTGTATTTGACCCGATAAACCCATTTACAACCAATGAGTTTTTTACCTGAAGGAAGAGAGACTATGCTCTAAGTGTTGTTATGCTCCAAAGCAGAGATCTCATCAGACATAGCTGCACACCATTCTGGAAGTTGGGAGGCTTCTGAGAATGTAGAGGGCTTAAAATGAGAGGAAAGGGCATTGACAAAAGCATGGTGAGGTGAGGAAAGCTTGGTGTAAGAGAGGTAATTGGATATGGGATGTGCAGTGGAAGAACAAACATAGTCCAGTAAATGAGGTGGTGGTTTTCGGATGCGAGCAGGAAGGGAAGAAGGAAGATGTGAAGCTTCAGTGGTAGATGTTGAAGTTGAAGAGGGAATAGGAGTTTGTAATGGTGATAGAGATGCAAAGGGAAAAATAGACTTATGAAAAACTACATCTCTAAACACAATAATGCGATTAGTAGAAAGATCAAGGAGTTTGTATCCTTTGTAACCAGAAGTATATCCAAGAAAGACTGCGGGAAGGGCACATGTAGAGAATTTGTGACGTGTACGAAGAAGAGTAGAAGGGTAGCAAAGGCAGCCAAAGACTCTCAGGTGTGAGTATGATGGAACTGTATTGGACAATAATTCAAAAGGTGTTTTATGAGACAGAAGAGGGGATGGTGTACGATTGATAAGATAAGAGGCAGTTTGGACACAATCAGTCCAATAGGGCAGAGGGACCTGGGATTGAAAATGCAGAGCTTGTGCAACGTTTAAAAGGTGTTGGTGTTTTCTTTCCACAACAGAATTCTGTTGTGGTCGTTCCACACAAGAATGAAAAAGATTAATGCCTTTGTTGTGAAAAAAATCAGTTAAACAAAACTCAGGTGCATTATCACAGCGAATAGCTTTGATAGATTTGGAATATTGAGTAAAAACCAGAGAATGAAATTGAGGGAAAATGATGGTCCTCAAAAGTTGAGGCCCATTAAGTGTAAATTGTTCTACAAAACCCATGTTTGGTTATAAATCACTCCCCTCAACCTTCTTCTTTTCATATAGAGCAACTGTTTTGAATAGTGGACCAGAGCAATGCTGAAAGTGGGAATTAAGGTAGACCTGGAGCAAATATAACATTATCTTTTTCACATATGACTATTGGGTTAGTTTGCTTTGTTCAGGACACCTAAGGCCCATCAAAAGGAACCACAAAATGAAGAGAGAAGAAGGAGGGTTGCGCAGAAAGGAAAAAGAAGTCTGCTATAGTACAACAGCAGTCAAAGGAAGCAATGGGGAGCCGCCACGTCAGCTACAACAGAGAAGGTGGAGGTGCTGCCTCTGCTACAGTACGAAAGCAAAGAAGCTGAGCAATGGGGAGCCGCCACGTCAGCTACAGCAGAAGGAGTGGAGGTGCCTCCCTGAATCTGATACTCCTACTCACAAAGGGAGCCAAAAGCAAGGGGGACCACTTCCATTTAAGGCCAAGCTGGCAAGAAGCAAAGCTACCATTAGAGAGGATTTAGACAAAGCACGACCCTTGATGAAAGGAACAATGGAGATCAAATGAAGAACCCTATAAAAGGAACAAGCAATCCTCATAAAGGGGATCATCAGCACCCATCCTAGGACTCGTTATCTCTTTGTTTTCTTTTTTGTAAAAATGCTCACTAGGAGCTAACTTCCTCTAAGTAGGTGAGGGTTTCATAGAAGTAATCCCTTTTGTCTTAGGATAGTTTTGTAAGGAACACATATTTTATAAATGAATTTTGAGTTGCTCTTTGGTTTAATTTATTGATTTTGTGAAACCCTTTGGGCTGGCAACCTCATCCCGGGACCACTCGGTTGATGAAACACTGACAAAGGCGTGTGGAGCATTCTCAAAATCCTGGGGTAGTTTAGCCTGAAGAAAGGAGGGAGAAACACCTGGAATGAGGAGCACTGCCATGTGAATCCATGCTCTTTTGAGAAGGCAGCATGGTTTCCTTGCATATAACTCCAAGTACTGTGGAGTAACGTGGAGAGTAAGGCCTTACCCTCTGCTTACCTATAGCAAAACAAGGGAAGGAGCAAAATCCACTTGTAAAATATGCTACCAAGCAGGGTTAACCAAAGGGATGAAAACATGGAACCCGTAACACCTACTTGATCTTTTTCTTTCTGAAATTAATCTTAACTCAACTTATATCACAACCTTTTCCTCACGATAACTGAACTGTGTTTTACCAGCTGATGCTCTTACTTTCATTTCGTTGACTGCTCTTAAAGTTACTTCAATTGATGCCGTTTTATTCGATGACCGTGCTAAGTCATTCACTGCTCTCATCTGGTTCAGAATGGTTAACATTGTTTAACTAGCTGCCCAGAGATTGCTCTTTGTGAAGCTTAGCTGAGAATAGTAAGTTCTTTTATTGCTCCATTTTACAAATTAAGTTTCCTTTAGCGCTTCTTACTTCACAACTGCTCCCTGAGGACGATAAATCTGGGGCTACAATACCCTATATTGCTTGACACGTACGCTTGCGTATAGTTGAAGAGGGTTGCTCTTAGTCAGAGTAGATTGCTCCTATTGGCAATCCTGATTACTACTCTACACTCTTGCTCTCTGAAAAAATATTCCCGAGCAGCTCTCGGTTCGACCAAGCAGAAAATGACAGAAAAATCATTTTTATTTTTCTGAAAGTAAATCCATGTAAAACGTGAAGCATCATCAACAATTGTGAGAAAATAACGAAAACCATCCACAAAAATGGGATTAAAAGGACCCCAAATATCACAGTGTAATAAATCAAAAGGAGAAGATGAGAGTTGTGGATTCAAAATAAACGGTAATCGCTTTTGTTTTGCCAATGGACAAATATTACAATGGAAAGATGAACATGCATGATATGTGAAATGCAAGGTATCCCTTAAACGGGGAGGGAGACGACCGATTTAGAAGGAGAAAGAGGATTCATGTAACATAACAGAAGGCAAAAGGGAAACTGAACCCTTAGAAGTAACAGAAACACTCGATCCAGTGGGGAGGGAAACGACCGATTTAGAAGGAGAAAGAGATGTAAACATGATAGGGGAAAAAACAACATGATGAGTTGCCCCAGTATCAATGACCCAAGACGTAGAAGGAATAGAAGAGGAACACTTACAACTGAAGCTCGCGATGGTGGGAGAGGCAGAATCTGTCGTAGGTGAGGAAGAAAAGGACGATGGTGACTGGAAATTGGGGCTCGAGTGCAAAAGCTGGATGAGTTGTGTATACTGTGATTGAGTCAACGGTGGAAAGGATGGGTTAGGGTCAATGGGCTTAGAAGTGGGGTTGGTAAAGGCTAAGTGTTTTTGGGCCGAGGGTGGGTAGGCTTGTTTAGGGGTTCTGGGCTTATAGCCTGGGGGAAAACCATGAATTTTGAAACACTTTTCCTTGGTGTGTCCAGAAAGGTTACAATGGGTGCAAAAGGGAC